GGATATGGATCGCAATCATGAGCTTCACCTCTTGTTAATGTGCTATCAGAAGATGCCGGCATCTTCTTGCCAGCAACGCACTTTTCGAAACTTGCCAGTTGTGTCTGCAACTTCTGAGCTTGTTGTACGTGGCCAAAGAAGATCAGCATTTCGAGCAGACCCCCAATCTCTCGTGCTAACGCTGCATTCGGTCGCAGTTCCGAAAGCTGTTGTTCAACATACGCTTCCTCTTCGGCGCTACCTTCCTTCATCCTCTTTCGCCTCTCTCGACGAGAAGGGATGCCTCCATGCTTTGCTTTTGTTTTGGGTTTCTTGCCAGTACTCAGCGCTTGGGTAGCGTAAAAGTGGCTAGCTGTCGCCATTGACAGTGACTGCATCGAGAAGTTACCGATACTAGCGGCACTGTTGTGACTGCCCACTGAACTGACCGAAGCATACGATAGAGCGCTGTCAGCAGCGCTCGAAGCGCCAGAACGAATGCTTCCAGCATCAGTATCACCGTCGCCGTGATCCCATCGACTACCGTCGATACCATGCAGCTTGAAGAGCCTCTTTTGTTCGCAAATTGTAGTCAGACGCTTCCAGTACTTGAAATACTGTTTTTCCTTGCGTTCCAACTCCTCCTGGACATCGTCGCAGCACTGCAACACACCAGGTTCTATATCGCTCTCTACTAGGTCGTCACGCTGATGTAGATAAGCTATACGCAACGCCTCTGCCCATTGTTGATGCGTGACTAGCAGCGCCACTGCTTCGTCAATGTCATTGCAGTATTCGACGTAGATTCTTGACACTGCAAGAACATCGTCAACAGCTCCGTCTTGTTGCTGATTGTTCAGAAGTTCTTGTGCAAGGGCATACGCTTCATTGCGGAGTTTGTCGGGGGTCTGATCGCGAGCGCTTAATGCCAACGCCATCTGCCACTTGCGAGCAGCGATGAATGAACGTCGAGCTTTTTCCTTCTCTGAAGCCGCCAAATAGACGAAAGCCGCAGCCTCGTACTTCTTCTCCGCGTCGAGGAACTCGCCCTTTAGTCTCAGTATTTGTTGACGGAACGCACGGTCACTCTGCTTCACTGGGGTGTGGGGGAATAGTTCCAAGGCCTGGTCATACAGTTCTCCTTGCTTTATCAAGTCAAGAGTAATACCATGCAGCTTGACTTTTTCCTCTTGGTTCTCAGCACTGGTCTCGTTAATCAGTGCAGCAACGTGAGTCAGCGCTCGTGCGAGTCGCTCAAGATGGACATCAATCGTGTACTTTCGCCAGTTTTCGTTCTCAAGACGTGCCACACGGTCGAGGAATGGAACGTATTCCTTCGGATCCCGTTGAGAATGAGTAGCCACGGTTCGTACCAGGTCCAGATCATACAAGCCCAACGCCTCCGAGTACAAACTGTCCACGTCTGTCAGCACAATGAGGTGCTTGATAGCACGCGTTGCCGCCGCACGATTCTGAGCTGAAGAAGTCTCGTTATCACATTCGGATCGGTGCAGTAGCTTCTGAACTTTTCCAAGAGCTTTGTCAAACCGTGGAGGCGACTGCTTCACTGCGCTTGTAACGAAAGGCAGCAGCAAAGCAGCCTCTGCTTCTTCTCCATCATTCTCAATCTCTTGGATTGCTCCCATAAATTCCTGACACACCGTGTTAACTTTCTCTAGGTCAGAAGAATCGGTACCATTGTCTCGGGTGTCATCAGTTGATGCCACCACGTTAAAAGGTTCAAGTAGCGGACCATATTTTGTAGCCCAGACGTCCACAGGATGCAAATTGGTGATGAACAAAGTCTGTCACTGGTAACTGCAGCTGGTCTTGTCGAGAGAAAACGACGAACCAGGAACTGCGGAAAACTCTTGATAAATGCCTGAGGGTTGAAATCCACGAGAACATTCAGGTCTAGTCGATGGCGACGACAGATCTCCAATGCCGAGACATATTCTCGCGCTTGAATTTGCTGCACG